TTCTAGTGAAAAAGCAAGAACGGTATTGCTCGACGAATGTGTTAGGGATGTTGAGAAGGATCTAACCCAAGTGAAAGACACGTGGTACACCCAAGGGGTGTCAATTGTCTCGGATGGGTGGTCTAACGTGAAGCATAGGCCACTTATCAATGTTTTAGCAGTGAATTCCCATGGTGCCATGTTCATTTACGCAAAGGATTTTTCTGGAGTTGAGAAATCTGGATTTGAGATTTCTAAATTTCTTCTTGGAGCTATTGACACGGTTGGACCAAGTAATATGTTACAAGTTGTCATGGATAATGCGGCTAATTGTAAGGCGGCCGGACGACCGGACGAGAGATCGAGAAGGTACACAAACATATTTTTTGGTCTCCTTGTTGCGTATACACTTTGAATTTAATTTTCAAAGACATGGCAAAAGAACTCCAATGATTACAAAATACATATAGAAGAGGCAAGGCAATTGTTAAGTATTTTATTAACCATACCCATGCTTTAGCTATCTTTCGTGAAAACTCAAGGTTGAGTTGTTAAAGGTTGCAAAAACCCGATTTGCATCCCATTACATTTTGTTAAAAAGAGTGATGGATTGTATGGAGGCTCTTGCCTCATCTACTTTTTGCAATTCTTGGAGGGAATGGGTGAGAAGTGGAGATGAAAATGCAAGAATTAATGGGGCTAGTGTTGCTGAAACAATTAAGAGTGATGAGTTTTGGGATGATGTTGCCTATTTTTCTACTTATAAAATTTATGAAAGGATGGATAATATGTTGGGCGAAATAAAAGACATCATGAAGGATAATGTATTTTCTTGCTATTACCCGGATATTGAGAAGATTATTCTAGCTAGATGGGAGAAGATGACAATCTCACTTCACTGTTTGGGGTTTGCACTAAATCCAAGATTTTATGATAAATTCTATATTGAAAAATTGGCTCCGAGTGGTATTCCAAGAAAAGCACTGAATCAAGATAAAGAGGTTGTACTTGGTGTTATGGAAGCTTTCAAGAGAATTGCAGAAAATCAAGAAGAGGAAAGGTTGTTACGGGAGCAATTTGCTACATTTCATATGAAGAAAGGGATCTATTCAATGGTTGCAACACAAGCGGATTGTGTGACAATGGATCCAATAGACTGGTTGTCAACCTATGGAGCCGAAACACCGGAATTAGCCGAAGTAGCAAAGAAGGTGCTTTCACAACCGATTAGTAGCTCTTCAGCGGAAAGGAATTGGAGTACATATTCTTACATTCATAGTGTGAAGAGAAACCGGTTGAATTGCAAAAGAGCTGACAAATTGGTTTTCATTCACTCCAACATTCGACTCATGTCACGGTTTTCAGAATCGTATAAAGCCGGTCCACATAAATAGTGAGACATCAATCCCGAAAACACATACATAGAAGGATCAAGTTCACAACTCGAAGACATGGTTTGGGATAATCTAGAGGATGAAGACGTGGACAATGGGGAAAGGAAAAAGACCTCGAATTGATTAGTCATGTACTTTTCGTGTTTGAACTTTGAACTTTAAATCAATGATTGTAGTACTGTTTTTATGTTTTGCTTGAAATGTTCTTGAATAGTAATGTTCCGTTACTTGGGCTCCATAATTCAGAAGGACGGTGAGTTAGATGGAGATGTATCCCATAGAATCAGAACATGGTGGATGAAGTGGAAGAGTGTGTCAGGATTTCTATGCGATCGAGGTATGCCGACTAGACTGAAGGGTAAATTTTATAGGACAGCAATTAGGCCTGCATTACTGTATGGCGTAGAGTGTTGGGCGGTGAAACAATATCACATTCAAAAGATGAGTGTGGCAGAGATGCGCATGTTGCGTTGGATGTGTGGGCATACTAGGAAGGACCGCGTGAGGAATGAGACAATCAGACAAAGGGTGGGAGTAGCACCTATTGAAGACAAGATGCGAGAGTCGCGCCTACGGTGGTTTGGTCATGTGCGTAGAAGACCGAGTGATGCACCTGTCAGACGAGTTGAGATGTGTGGAGAAGAGGCAGGGAAGAGAGGGAGAGGAAGACCCAAACAGACGTGGGTTAGGGGAGTTCGAAGTGATATGCTTCTTCTGGGGTTGGATGAGAGCATGACTTTGGAGAGAGCTAAGTGGATGGCGGGTATTCGTGTGGAGGAGTGATCTCGTATATATATATAAGCATTATTTGTATATTTTTTTCCTTGTTTTTTATCCTTATATATATAAGCATTATTTGTATCCATTTTATTTTATCTTTTTTATGTATATTCATCTCTTTTTATATTCTTTTTATAATAGCTTATCTTTTTTATCTTTATTTTCTTTCTTTTCCTTTTGGTGGTGATATCATGTATCCATTCATGTTAGCCGACCCCAATATCTTTTGGGACTAAGGCTTGGATGTTGTTTGTTGTTGTTTTGTTTAATGTTATGAAATCATGTTATGAAATCTGTTTTTGATCAATGTTGAAATCTGTATTGTATAATTCAGTTTTATATTTTTATTATAGTACCAAAATATTAGGTACAGCATACCGAACATATGATACATCGTACCGAACGCGTATTGAAATGAACATACCCCCTCCGAATCGGATACGTTAGATCTAGCGAACCGTGTTCCCGTTCCTCGTTCCCGTATCAAATCGTACCGCGAACCATGTGACTATGGTTTGCAAATCCACTGTTTTGCACCTACGGAATATTTACTGTTGTCTACTGAATATTTACTGTTGCCATTGCCAACAAATGCAACTTCTTTAAGCAGTGGTTTGGCCGCATGACTTGCATCCTTAGCTTGTGTAGCATATTGGGTTTGTTGAGTTTATGAATGAACAAATCCTTCTGTGTCATTATCATCTAAATTAAAGGTGGATGAGGACTATGTTGTAGATGACGCAGACGCAGACGCAAACACCATTTTCTGTGAAGAAAACAAAGTCACAAACGGGTAAGGGAGAAGAGTAGAAGACTGCAGTACTAAAGAGTGTTTGGCGTGTGAAATAGAACATTTTTCACTCAATTTATAAGAGTTAGAATGTACAATTAATGAGTTCGATCGGAAAATGAAGAGGCTGGTTCGAAACCCGCACGCCTGTAGAAGCGTCTAAAAACGAAGCGCATGTACAACTGTTTGAAATCCACGTGCTAATAGGGATGACGATTAAGAGTTCCAAACGGGTTCACTCGAAAAATTGTTTGGGTCATCATCATCATTACCCCAGTGCCGCAAAGGCTCTCACCTACGGTGGGGTAGGGGAGGTCGGATGTACGCAGTCTTACCCCTGTACTAAAGCAGGGACTGTTTCCGAATGACCCATAGTGAAAATCACGTCGAAAAATACATGGACTGATTGTTGCTTCACAATAAAGAAGCGCAGACAGTTTAGTGAGCCATTTTGCTTTATTCCATCATATTCTCAAGCCAAAAAATAGTGAATCTTTGGCTCCATTGCAAATGATGGAAAAATTGTTTGGGTAATGAACTGAAAATCGTTTAAGACCGAATTGAATAATGATTGAGATCGATTGGAACATCGATTGGGATCGAGTAGACAAGTACTTCATAGTGTTCCCATTAGCAAATGGATCACTTTCGTTCTGTGATTGGGTATGGAACAATCAGTTTGCAAATCGTGTCTAGTTGAGAAAATAATTGTAGCTAAGTGGGAAGATGACAATCCCACCTCATTGGTTGGGGTTTGCATTAAACCCAAGACTTTATGATAGTCTATCTTGAAAAAATGGCTCTTGGTGGTATTCCAAGAAAAGTACCAAATCTAGATAAAGAAGTTGAGCTAGGTGTTATGGAAGTCAAACAGATAGCGTGACAATGAATGCAATAGATTAGTGGTCAACCTATGGAGTTGAAACACGGGAATTAGCTAAAGTAGCAAAGAAGGTGCTTTTATAACCGATTAGTAACTCTTCGGAGGAAAGAAATTGAAATACATAATCTTACTTCATAGTGTAAAAAGAAATCGATTGAATTGCAAAAGAGCCGACAAATTGATTTTCATTCACTCCAACATTCGACTCCGATCACGTTTTTCAGATTCGTATAAAGCCGGTCCTCACAAATATTGGGACATCAATCCCGCAAGCACATACACGGAAGGCTCAAGTCATGACTTGAAGACGTAGTTTAAGAGAATCTAGATGATGAAGACATGGAGAATGGGAAAGAAAAAGATCTCAGATAGATTGAGTGATGTACTTTTTCTGTTTTAATTAGTGATTCTGGTACTGTTTTCAGTTTTGCGTGAAATGTTTCTAGAATATTAATGTTTTTTATTTTGTTTAATGTTACGAAATCTGTTTTTATTTAATGTTATGAAATCTGTAATTATGTTTTATTATAGTATTAAAACATAAGGTACAACGTACCGAACATATGGTACATCGTACCGAACACGTACTGAAATGAACTTATCCCCCTACGAACCAGATAGGCTAGACCTTGCGAACCGTGTTCCCGATCCTCATTCCTGATCCTTGTTCCCGTACTGAAGCGTATTATTTCTCAATTACTCGTACCGTAAATTAATCATCACTTTTATGTTATTCTCTTCTTTTTACGGGTTGACTAGGTCATTGGTTACTTGATATCAGTGAGCAAAAAAGTTCGTATTATTTCTCAATTACTCGTACCGTAAATTAATATGCGAAGAACGCCTAGTTTGGAATTATTCGTGTGAGATTTTCCTATAGATACACTCCTTAGTCCAAAATAAGTGTTTTATATCAAAAATAACATGAATGCAGGAGATTCTACGGAAGCAGACATGCAGTATTAACTGCATAATATCTTGACAAAAAATGTACTAACTGCATATATATTTTATTTATAATAAATATCTAAATTGTTATCAAATAAATTGAATGGTGATAGCTTTTGTTAGATATTTTAATCTGGTGAGAAGAATGATACTTAAAGGAATATAGATACTTCTTAACCACTCACCCCTGCTAAAATATAGGGAAAGAAAACAAAATAAAATAGGAAATACCTTCTCAATGTTGTCCATCATTATTCCTTTAACTTCTGTTAGTTGAGCCTTCACTTTAGACAGCTTGCTGATTTCTTCTGGATGGTTCATGCAATACTGCATGTGCTCTTGGAGCCTTGGCCTGCAGAAAAGAGAAAATCATTAGAATTCTAGACATTGCATACAGAAGATGCTAAGCTTAACAGTAAATGCGTGTAATCATGTTTCAGGAAAAGGCCACTGGAACGCTGGATAATGAATGTACCCAAATTCTCGGTCAAGGCTATATGCAATGCTAAATCGGTCCTCAAATAGATCATCATCCTCTTCATCATCTGCAAGAGGGTGTGGACCATCACCTTTGATAGTAGCACCATACCGATGTTTGAAGTCATCCTTCACTCTCTCAAGAAAAACAAAGGGCGCATTTCTTTCCATTGACTCATTCGCAACAACAAGAAAAACTGCATAACCAAATGAAGATACATTTTTCCAGTAAAAAATATAGCACTAATAGAACAATAGGGTAACATTTAAAATAAGAGAACCAATATGAAAACTACCAAATCCACTGTCAATAAGAAAGTTGAATGTGTGCCCATCACATGAGTAGGTATACTTGTTGCTATTAGAAGGCAGCTTCTGCAAACACTGAACAGCAATGGTACTAAAGTTCCCAGTATGAGATGTGTGCTCTGCTAGAACAACAGTACCTTTTGCCACGAAGCTATAAATTAAACTCTTCTGGTTCATTTCTTTATGACAATTCCAATGTCAAAACTGATACAAGTATCAATTCAGTACCCTCCTGTCATTAAAATGATAAAAAGCTTCAGGGAAATATTAAACTCTCAACCACTAAATGAAATATGAAGAAGTTGGCAACTTTAGTGCTAATTCCTCTAATGTTTATTTTGAAGCTTATCTATTTCAAAAAGTATAAACTAGCAGATAGCAAGCATAGCAGCCAACCCCGAGAAACGCTACAGCAGTATACGCGATAGCAAACTAGTGGGATGCTACTCAGCCAATTTATATGCAGAATACATAATTATTGAATGCACATAATTACATGCAACATTTCAAATCCAAAAAAAAAAAGATAAATATAGCACTCAAAGTCTCAAACCCCATGGCATTCATAATTACTAAGTTACAAACAAAAAGCCATTATTTTCAAGAATGAAAAGAAAGAATAATTAAAGTGGCTTAAATCTAAACATTAAAATTTAAAACATGTTATTCTAGGTAATTCTTGACATACTAGCCGTCAAAAATATGATGCATAAACGGAGGTCTCACTCTGGATGCAGCAATACATCCTTTATTTATATTTATCTTTCTCAAATCTGGTTAAAATGAAGGTTTTTTCATTCTCCATTCAACAATACCCATCATGAAATCCTTTTCTCCTTCTTTAACATCCACGTCATCTTCCTCATAAGAGGAGAAGAGATTCTCAAAGAGTTGTCGAAGAGGCACAAAATGTCATCGAAGAGAACCAAAGAATGCTGGGAGAGGGTCAAAGGGTACTGACATGTTAAGAAGGGTTAATACAGTCATTTTTACTGCACCACCATAAGTCCATACTTTACCCCTTAAAAAGTTTTAAATCCAAAATTGCCCAAAAATCTCCTTAGTAATAGCACGAATAGAGATCAGGTAAATTATGTCAGCGCCCGCTACTGGTGCTAGAGCCAACCACTCAGCTATAGGCAATCTGATAATACCTTACCCTTGCTATGCCGCTATATAGGGCTATTGAAATCACTGGCACAAACGATTACAAGACAATATGGCTTTTGAGGATATAGAGAGAAAAAAACTACATTTAGGAAGGCTATATACAAATACAACTAGACCATAAAAGCACAGAATTCAACTTATAAAGCATCTGCATTGTGCTTTCTAGATTAAGCAATGGAATGGTGCCTGAATGGATGATTGGATGCGCTTCCGATATAATTAAAAATGATGCTTCATGAATTTGCGGATATTTTTAATGGTAGTTTAATTAACGAAAACAAATTCTAATACATTTTTATAACCCTCTATCTTCAAACAGTGCTTTCAATTATAATAAACTTACTACCTCTCCCACATTCTTAGGAACATGGGTAGATGCAAGCATATTAAGGAGAAGTAAGATTGTGTGGTTGATATTGAATTTGTAAAATATGAAATATATGAACATATGACCATATATGGAAAGGGACAAAAATTTTGGAATGGGACAAAATGGAAAAATGGGGCAACTATAGTGGGACACTGAGAGAAGTAAGTGAAAAACGTACAACTTCAAACCACATCCAATCAGACCCTAAACCATTTTCAGTAATAAATGCAGAAACCCAGAGTTGCATAGTTGAAGCAAAGAAGAGAGTAATTTAGGTTCCAAATATGGAGTTCAACTCATTATTAACAAGAAATATACTGAAACTTGGTAGGAATTCAGATGACGCTTTCAATTAAGGAATTGAATTTCTAAAATTCAATTCTAGATTTGCTAATCTCAGAATTTGATGTCTAATGTAGTAATGTTTGGTAACTCAACATCCAGGCTTGAGTGAAAGGTACCAAATCAAAATATACCAAAATTTATACTCATAAACATAATGAACTCTAACAACTTGAACATAATTAACTATCGAGCAGGTGAATGGGATAGTATCAGGGCCAATCTTGTGTATTTTCACGGCTATGGGCTATAATCTGTCATCATCTTATTCCAATGTAAGTCATACTCTCTCCTTCCCTATATAAAGATCACATTTTTATTGCATGCATATCAAGGAAATAATAATTTTTCCCCTTTGATTTCCTGAAATGCCGCTTTTACTGAGAGGTAAATTTTACAATAGAGTACACTGTTTTGACATTGTTTTGCATTGTGTTGTAATTATTATTTAAGGGTAGTAGAGGAAATTGATATAAATTTGTTTACCAAATATAGAAAGGGACTTTATTTAGGGACATCCATAAAAGCAAAGTGGGAAGTTTATTTAGCGATGGAGGGAGTTCTTTAAAGTGGATTACAATAAAACTATGTAAAAAGATCCATAATAAATGCAAAAATTACTTTAGAGTGTTCCATCAAGAGCTTATTCCAATGTAAATCACTCTTTAAAGTAAATTATAATAAAAATGCAAAAATTACATTAGAGTGATAACATCAAACAAAAAAACAATTGGGCCTAAAACAAAAAAGTATACACACAAAATACAGAAAGAGATATTATCAGGCCCAAAGTTTTATATTTGTGGGCCTAAGTCCATCGTCCCCATTGTACCCCAATGAATTTAGGCCCACCCCTCTAGTACAGTTCCAAGCTCTGATCTCTGTCTTCAATGGAAGAACACGACAGAGTGAACAGGACCAATATATGAACGAACTTGGTGAATTTTTTATAAAGCTATAAATCTGTTCATCACGTCCTCTGCATCTACTCATAAAGAATGGTACCCGCTGTAAGTGAGATTCGCCTATCCCATGCCCCCCCCCCCCCCCCCCCCCACACACACACACACACATGAACAATGTGAATTTCAGGTCAGAGTCAATCTCATATTCCTAGTAGTTGAGATTTGAAGAGAAAACATGATTGACATTTAAAATCAAGTAACTCAAAAGTCAGAACAAAATCTGGTCCAAATTTACATTCCTAGGTCGTTTGATTCTTAAATTTCCAACTCCTCTACAAATTCTGGGTAGTAGAAAAGGCCTACTATAATTTAAAGAGGCTAATCGGATTAAGGGCATCGAGTGAAGCTCAGATAATGCTCGTGGTGGCTTGAGCTTCCCAGAGGACGTTGGTTGTGAGCGGATGAGACTAGAGAAATGACAAATACAAACCGCAGAACAGCTTTACACCGGCAAAGATACACCAATATAAAAACTTCGACCTACTTTGGTGGAATCTATTAGCCTTAACGTCGTTAACGATCAGAAACTCCATGAGTCCATGAACACGCGTATGGAAACGAATCGCTGCTAAGAACTAAGATCAGTCTAAATTATAAATATAAACGGGAACTCTGTAACAGGAAAGCATAAAAGAGAAGGCAGAAATGTAGAATAATGCAGAGAGAGAACCTGAGATTTGCAGAAACGTCGATTGCTTCGAGCAGGAGTGGAAGATTCGGGCGAATTTGCTGCGGATGACGTGAAAAAGTCGCGGGGGGAGCATATCGGAAATGGAGACCGTCGACTTCAGTCGTTATGTAGTTAGCTAAATTACGGAACACCCTCATCACTTGGTCGTAGAATACACTTTCAAGTGGGGGCTCTTATGTACTTTTATATTTGTTCTCATTTAGGCTGCAGTGACCGGACAAGACATTGGTAGTTATTACACGCATAATAGTGACTAGACATCAATTTTATGAGATCAGATTAGACATAAAATTTCAGCAAGTAAAATTGATCATTTTTTTCTCGAATATGAGGCTTCAAAAATTAACACCGATGTATACTTAAATGAGTGGCTTATTAGGTACAACAACGACATTCAAGCCTTAGTCCCAAAAGATATTGTGGTCGGCTAACATAAATCGATACATGATATCACAATCAAAAGGAAAAGAATGAATAAAGATAAAAAGATAAGTTATTATGAAAAGATAATATAAAAAAGATGAATATATATATAAATGATAAAATAAAAAGGTTGCAAATAATGCTTATAAATATATATATATATAAGGATAAAAAAAACTACGAAAAAAAAGATGAGGGAAAAAAATTATCAAGATCACTCCTTCACGTGAATACCCGCCATCCACTTAGTTCTCTCCAAAGTCATGCCCTCATCCAACCCCAGAAAAAGCATATCACTTCGAACTCCCTAACCCACGTCTGTTTGGGTCTTCCTCTCCCTCTCTTCCTTGCCTCTTCTCCACACATCTCAACTCGCCTAACAGGTGCATCACTCGGTCTTCTACGCACATGACCAAACCACCGTAGACGCGACTCTCGCATCTTGTCTTCAATAGGTGCTACTCCCACCCTTTGTCTGATTGTCTCATTCCTCACGCGGTCCTTCCTAGTATGCCCACACATCCAACGCAGCATGCGCATCTCTGTCACACTCATCTTATGAATTTGACATTGTTTCACCGTCCAACACTCTACGCCATACAGTAATGCAGGCCTAATTGCTGTCCTATAAAATTTACCCTTCAGTCTAGTCGGCATACCTCGGTCGCATAGAAATCCTGACGCACTCTTCCACTTCATCCACCCTGTTCTGATTCTATGGGATACATCTCCATCTAACTCACCGTCCTTCTGAATTATGGAGCCCAAGTAACGGAACATATCGCTGACCGGTATCTCCTTACCATCCAGAGTAATTCCGCTATTACCACTACTTCTACCTCCACCAAACTTGCACTCCATGTACTCTGTCTTGCTCCGACTTAGTTTGAAACCCTTATTCTCCAATGTTTGTCGCCATACTTCCAACTTTGCTTTAAGACCTGATTGCGTCTCATCAATCAATACAATATCGTCGGCAAACATCATGCACCACGGTATATCGTCTTGAATTGACTTCGTAAGTTCATCCATGACTATGGCAAATAAGAAAGGACTCAAGGCCGATCCTTGGTGCACTCCGATAGTAATAGGGAACTCTTCAGTCCTCCCTACACTAGTACGAACACTTGTAGTACAATCCTCATACATATCCATGATGATGCTGATATACTTGCGTGATATGCCTTTCCTAGTTAAGGTCCACCAAAGAACTTCTCGAGGTACCCTATCATATGCCTTTTCTAAGTCAATGAACACCAAATGCAGATCCTTATGAGCATCTCTATACTTCTCCATAAGTTGTCGAAGAAGGTGAATGGCCTCAGTTGTTGAGCGACCAGGCATAAAACCGAATTGATTTTCTGAAATCTTCACAGTCCTTCGAAGTCTTTGCTCAATCACTCGCTCCCAAAGTTTCATGGTGTGACTCATAAGCTTAATCCCTCGATAGTTGGCACATTCTTGTACATCACCTTTATTCTTAAATAAGGGGATAAGAGTACTCTTCCTCCAACTCGTTGGCATCTTGTTGTTTCTCCAAATCATGTTGAAGAAACTTGTTAACCACTCGACGCCTCTCTCTCCCAAACTTCTCCAAGCCTCGATCGGTATGCCATCTAGCCCCATTGCTCTTTTCCGTCCCATCTTCCTCAGAGCTTCTTTAACTTCCGTTGTTTGGATCCTTCTCACAAAATCACGGTTTACCATACAATCTGGTATGGACAAATCGCCGATATCTTGCGTTTTGTTCCTGTTGAATAGTGTATCAAAGTATGACCTCCACCTTTCTTTTATCTCTCCGTCGTCCATTAATATCCTCTGATCAACATCCTTCACACACTTAACTTTTGCAATATCTTGAGTTCTGCAATCACGAAGACGAGCAAGTCTATAAATATCTAGTTCTCCTTCCTTAGAGTCCAACTTTTCATACAACTCCTTGTTCACTTTCCCTCGTGCTTCCCTTACGGCTTTCTTTGCTTGTCTTTTAGCCTCCCTGTATGCTTCTATGTTCTCATCACTCCAATTTGTCCCCAACTTTTTGTAGCAATCTCTTTTGTTCCTTATGGATTGTTTCACCTCATCATTCCACCAAGATGTGTCCTTTTTAGGTGGCCGACATCCTTTAGATTCTCCAAGTACCTCCTTTGCCACTTTGTTAATGGTCAACTCCATTGATAACCACACATCATCCACATGTGTTTCATTCTCAATACGCCATACATCTTCACCGACCATTTTGTGTGTAAAGCTTTGTTGAAGATCTCCCTCAAGCCTCCACCACTTTATCTTTGGCTCCACTTGTTGTTTAACTTGTCTTCTATGGTTCTTACCTCGAAAGTCAAGCACAAGCATCCTATGCTAAGTGACAACACTCTCACCTGGAATAACCTTACAATCAGTGTAGCTAGTTCTCCAAGTGGTCCATACTAAGAAGTAGTCAATTTGGGTACTATTAGCTCCACTTTTATAGGTTACAAGGTGAGAGTCTCTTTTCTTAAACCAAGTGTTCATTATAGCCAACTCATACGTCAAGGCAAAATCCAAAATGTTCTTTCCCGCCTCATTCCTAGTGCCAAAACCATGTCCGCCATGAATATTCTCAAAGCCATCACGACTCGAGCCCACATGCCCGTTGAGGTCACCTCCTATGATCAACTTCTCTCCCCTTGGCACTCGTCGCACCACGTCCTCAAGATCTTCCCAGAACTGTTGAGTTGTAGATGCATCCAATCCCACTTGTGGTGCATAGGCACTTACCACAGACACAATCTCACCTCTTATCACCAATTTAATGCTCATGATGCGATCGTTCTTCCTGAAGACTTCTACCACATCCTCAACATAGTCACGCGCCACAATAATGCCTACCCCATTTCTAGTCTTATCTCTCCCCGAATACCACAACTTAAAACCTCCGGGATTAATCTCGCGTGCTTTCTCACCAACCCATTTAGTTTCTTGCACACACATAATGCTGATATTCCTTCTGCTCATAACCTCGACTACCTCGGAAGATTTGCCTGTAAGAGACCCAACATTCCATGTCCCAAAACGCAATCTAGCATTCCACCTTCTGTTCTTAGCCCCATCTCGGACCCCACCATGCCCTTTCCTATTTGACATCATCCCCGGGCAATGGGATGACGCGCCGCTTCTGGGCGGCGACCTAGCAACCTTAGCATTCTTATCACCACACCCAGGTCTATCAAGTGTAGCGCGCCCTTGCATATTTGACACCACCCCCAGGCGGAGGGATGACGCGTCACTTACGGGTGACGACCTAGCATTAACGATATTCATATTTCGATTCATGTCATGTGATGTGACTAGGTGATACTGTTGGCCGTCACACGCCTACCACAGCACCCTCCTCCTTTATCCTGGCTTGGGACAGGCATGATACCAAAAAAATGATATCATGACGGAGTTGAGTGGCTTATTAGGTATTTCACCAAAATTAATAAAAATAATGTGAAATACTACACTAAGTCATTAAGATTGGGACAAGAGAAGGTGGCACGATTATTAAGAAAATAGATTTGTGTGATTGATATTAAATTGATAAAGTAAAAATGATTAAAAGCCACACAAATTTTACCAAATTTGGTATGGGACAATCTTAGTCTTAGGATTTCCCAAACGGGACAATCTTAGCGGGACGGAGAGAGTAATAATTATGGTACAAAGTGATAGTTATTGTGTTTAAGTAATGTACTGTCTAGTAGTTTTTAAATTAGACTTTCTTAATTAAGCGTTAAATGACGTAACAATTAATTGTCATAGTTTAAAATGGTTAAATTAATGATGTAGTTTTATAAGAGCAATTTTTTCTCCTAGAAAAAGACTGTAGTTTGAAGAGCTACTTTACCCAAAACTAGTAAAATCAAAGTTGCAAAATGTTTTGAGAGATATGTTGTGTTACTATTAAGACTGCCTCTAACCAGTCAAACTAAAGTCTTTCTATAAGCTAAGTTTGATCACTAATTTAGTTACAATAAAAGTTAGATCACTAGTTTAACTATTGAAATTTTTAGTTGTTATTGTAGGTCATTTGACTTGTACTAATGAGAATTTCATCTCGGAAGAAATTGAAAAATAAAAGCTCAGTCAAACAATATCTGATGAGAATGGATTTATTTCTATATTTGATCACTATATGAAGAAGAAAAATCTATAAGTGACATTCTTAAAAGAATGTCACTTATATTTCATGTTCCTTATTGATACTGAACATTTCTAAATATGTATAATACATGCTACTTATATAAATATTATGGAGTACATGCAAATTATCAACTTTGGACTTCTTAATCCATAGATTTATTAATAATTTTCAAACTGGTGGTTTCGTGGTTGAATAATGAGCTCTTCACTTTGTGATGTATAATTGCTCATGTTGAGTTAAGACTATCATGTTTGATTTTCTTCAATTAGATCATGCATTTCTACACTGGTCCTCGTTATATCGATTTTTGTTGGGTCAATTTTTTAAAGCATGCTTATGTAACGTAAGTAACTAATATATGTGAGTAATAAATACGTAGTATATATATATAATGGTATACAACTCTCATTATGCAGATAACTCTTGCTTACTGGTGTCCTTGAATAAACTTCAAAATTTATCCTGATATGGTGAGCTGTTGCTTTGTTTATATTAGTTTTTTAATCCCATGTAGCTCAGAGATGAAGCAGCATACATGAAAATAGCATTCTTAAGAAATATAGGACCCCAATGCATATAAATAAATATTAAAGAATAAGAGCTTGTTTTTAAATATTTAAAACAGTAAATAATTCTTTTTGCACTTGCAGTGTTTTGTACTACGTATAACATATTACGGATTATTTAATTACTTGTTGCTCATTAGGCCGAGTGGTGGAAAAAATTGTGTTCTTTATTTTGACAAATTAATTAATAGTGAAAGACTAGACGTAGATAAAGTCAATGATAGTGGTTAAAGGGTAATAGAGGTGGTTCTGGACTTCAGGATGGCGAAAGGCAAAGGACATCAATGGTAGAAAGTAGAAGCATTTGTTATGAAAGTGCAAAAAGTATAAATCATCTAGTAGCAAATTAAAGAGTGAACACTTGTAGCAAACTTATAAGTTATAAGTTTACTACTTAAGTAGTTATAAGTTATAACTACTAACCCTTCAAAGTTTTGCAAGTAAGGCATTTGACATGGATATAAAAGTATGGTAGGTGGCTTAAGATGCTCCGTATCTTTCATTCATAAGTTTTAGAAGATAGTATGTTGATTTTAAATGTATCTTTGCATCATAGATTTTTACACTTTTATAATCTTGTTAAATGTGTCTTTAAACGTGTCTTTCAATCATGAGGGTTTTGCTTTCCTCTTTAGGGAGGGGCACAAATGCACAATAGGTGGGGGGCTGGTGAGTCTGCTGCCTCACCCGGACCATAGCAGTTTTGCTTTCTTTTGCACAATAGTTGGTCACTTGGTTGACAAATGCAATCCAGCACCTCTCCCCTCACTCGTCGCCCCCATTAACCAAATTTAAGGTAGAACTTGGAACTTAAAAAGTTAAAAAATTGCTTCTTGTGCAAGCACCAAGCGGTAAATCTCCAACCTTTTGTTTTCATTTGGAGATTCAATTTTTATTGAGTATTCCGACATGTACCATAAATCCTAATCTATGAGAAAAGAGCTTCAAGCCTTCAAACAACCAAGAGCACTGAAGCCGATCTCTAAAGCGATGGTATGCCATATGAGTACATTTTATGAGGCATTTTAACAGTTTGGGTCCACTTAACAATTTGAGGGCTCCTTGAGATTTTTCCCCATGAAAATAATTTGTTATAGCGAAAAAACCCTGAAATACATTATTTGAAGCAAATACAATGACTTTCTCCTAAACATTGAAAACATATAACAGTCTTTCATGGCACAGTCCACCGCACACAGTGGACCTTACTACGTAGTACTCCATATAATATTAGAAACACGCACAAGGACATAAAAATGTGAAAAAAAGTTTAGCATAGGATTTTCATCATTTTATGACAAACCATGGGTGGGAAAGCTGTTAAGCAGCCTTTAAGCTTGTGCACATCACGCCATTACTTAATACTGGGAGTGGCACTTCTGGTGGTCTTCACAAAGTCCACATAATCACTGTAAGTCAATGTGAAGATTGTGCTTTGGTAGCGAGTTAGCTGGATGTCATCCAAAATTGAGTCAGTTATCGGGCCATTGTAACCTGCCTTTCGCATTAGTGAGATAACTGTTTGACCTTGTGTCCAGCCTAAGACAAATAGAAAATAATTCTCATTGGAAAAAACAGATGAAGAAACAATGATGTGGATGTTTACATATCATTATGTTCATTCATTTTTTAAATCTCAGACACATCACACATCTGGCATACCAAACTGTGTGATGATATGCCAGTAGGCCACATATGCAAAGTTGAATAAAGTCCAATAAATTGCAGTTAGGGGAGACTGAAGGACCCAAAAATACTCATTTGAAAATTGGGGGCCAAAATCACCACATCGGGATAGTAGGGGGGACATAATTAGACCTTTATTGAGTTCCTATTTGCAGAGGCAGAGAGCGCATGGGCCAAGCCGTTAGATCGAGTAGCCCGTGATGTCATGTGAGCTCGGTCAGTTCAATCCAACGGCTCAGGCACTTCTGTGCAGTCACTACACGGGCATCATGTGGGGCTAACCACTAAGAACTCAACAAATGTACTTAACTCTTGTTTATATATGGCAATTAGTACACTTCCCACTAAGCATGTAGATCTAAATTCCAACAAGTCATATATTCCCATAAAGCATACTCTATCAGTCCAAAGTTATAAAACAACCATCCATGGTTACTCACTTACTCAGGAAGGTAAATAACTCTCCTTCCAGTTCTCCAGAGATTTACTCGACAAAAACAAGAAACACTACAATAAAATCATGATTACGCATAACAAATGTATCTTGACTTATGTGAAGAGATTTTCAAATTTCACCAATAGTATATTTTTATGCAAAAGGATATATGTGTGGAAGTAATATAAAATGTAACTCGATTATAATCTTTACAAATATATACTCGTATTAAAAAAAATGACCAAAAAAACTACTACACAGAATGGATGTTGTGTGTCATTCATCGGAATGTGATTCTATTGAAGGCGCCCAGTGTTCCTAACTTGTGAAATATAATTCCAACACAGGATACAAGAAAATAGCAACACTGTGTGATGTACTTTAATTCTTGAAATGATAAGAGAACGCACCAAACAGCCCATAACATTAGTAACTTGTTTTGAACTTTGGATATGAGAAAACTGCAATACTGTGTGATAGGTTCAACCGTTCAGGATGATAAGAGATTAATGAATAGGACAAAAAAGGACTAGTCACCTCCATGTGCAGCTACTTCTGGCAGATATGTGGCACTTCTCTTTGTATTATTAAGGTCAGTAAATTCAATAGTTATTCCGTGCTTACCAACCTGAATACAATATTTCACTAACAATTACATAGACACAAAGTTATAAAACAACCACCCATGGTTACTCAGGAAGGTAAAGAACTCTCCTTCCAGTTCTCCAGATTTGCTCGACAAAAACAATAAATTCTACAAAAGTACTAACAAAAGTATTTGTATTTCTGTCTGTGTGCATGTTCAACAAAAAAACAGTTCAGAGATACCTTTGCAAGAAATTGTGGATGGACTGAATCACTCAAAATAAAATCCAAGAAGGAGTTAGTAAATACTGGGCATGAAATGTAACATTATCAATCCACTAACAACCCAATGTGTTCAGATGTTAAGACTTTGAAGTCAACCAGTCAAGATGGAAACGAATAATGTTTAAACTGCAAAATAATGTTAAGATCTTTGCCCAGTTGACATGATGCAGTGGAGGATGCAGGGGTGCAAAAAGAGTTTAATGAGGGAACACAACTCAATAAACTATACTTTTTCCGTCCACCCCACCCCTCCAAAAAAGAAGTTTGTTTGTAAATTCAACGATGACTCCCCTTTTGGAAGTGAGGGGAGCATTACATTGCACAATTTCTCAGGAAGAAATATGATAATTTATAAGTGATCAATTGTATATTCATCGTAATTGAGTCTAATATGTCTTTTTCTATAATAATTGACAACTAATCATTAACTGACATAATTGAACTATGCATAGTTAATTTACAATTTTCATTGCAATTGTAAACTGGCCAAGAATAAACAGGGGTAAGGGATTATTATTTAGATGCTTTCTTTTCAATCTGGGCTTTTTGTTGGAACAAAATGAAATATTTATAGGGTAAAAGTGTGTGTGTTTCTGAATATCTGTTTTGTTGATAGGCTATATATTCTTATGTTATTCAGGGCAGATGTCCCCTCCTGTACGGCTAGATCCGCCCCTAATGGCCTGTTTGTTTGGGGGTTAACCTAGGTTACTGCATGTTCAATTTTTAGTTAACCTCGTTTATTTGTGTTTTTGCAACAAGAATCTAGGTTATGGGTTAACTTCGCATAACTCCCGAGAACCTGGAAAAACCTTAAATTGAAGAACCTCCGAAGTGGGGGGGTTTGGAGGTTAAGTTCTCGTTTAACATAAAATGAGCTAGAGTACCTTCATCCAAACAACATTTATTACATTAACCTAGGTTCACCTTATTTATTTCCAAACACTATTTTACGCATGAATCTAGGTTTACTTGGGTTTACTTTATTGCACTAGGTTTACTTAAGTTTACTTTATCCAAACAGAGCATAACAGTATACATATATTGAAGAGTACAATAAAAAAGACTTGATCACTTTAACTGTTCTCTACTATAGGAATCCTCTGTCACAACGTTTCCATAAAACGCGGCATTTTGGAAAAGGCTATCAATAATAATGGATTAATACAAAGTAAAAGAGAAAAGAAGTTTGTGGAGTAGATGTACAGAACAATACCTCCCAGTCAAGATAATCACGTCCAGTTTCATAATTAGCAAGAACTGACACTGTACATTCAAGTGTAGGCAATTCTTTAGCCTGTATTGGGCCGAAACGGCGATCCTCAAGAGCACTGTACCACATCAAAAACATTGAGCCAGATAATATAGTCAAACTGAAGATGCTCTCAAAGATCCTGTTTGACTGTCCACATTTTTTGTGGACCTTTATATCTATCCATTTAGCAAGTATGTGGTACATTGATTATTATTAGTTGGTATATTTCTAGCATGATATGATATGCTACATTGCTACTACGCTACTTCTGCAAATCTGCATAGAAATAAGAAAAGTAGTAAAGGAGGTACAAGCAAAGTAGATTTATAAGAACCTAAAATAATAGAGATTTTAACTACATAAAGAGCTCTGGTAATGAAGGCTAATAATGGATGAAGGTTGCAACATGACCTAGTCTTCTATGAAACACTACGATGTCACATTGAGTTTGTGATGTCAAGATTTTTTTTTTTGCTTCTGTAGGGTTAAAAGCACATTACTCAACAAAAAATCACCACATTGGTGCCTAATAAAGTGCTTTTTCAAAAATTAGCTTTTATAACCCCAGATAGGCAGTAATATGCTGCTTTCTTAATTAACAATTAACAATTAACTATATTTTTACGGTTAAAAGCATGTTTGTTACTCCCTCCGTCCCGTTGGAAGGCTCCCATAGCAAAACGGCACGGTTATTTAGACAATAATTAAATAAAGTATTTCGAGTATATTTTGAGAAATAATTTTAATAGGTACTACCTCCGTCCCTTAAAACTTTGCCAAGTTTGACCGGCACGGGGAGAGAGAATTAAAAACTGTGTGGTTGAGGTTTGTGCAGAGGAGAGAGAATGAAATGGAACCATAAATTCTTTATTTAAAAGGGAAAGTGGCAAAGTTAGTGGGAAATCCAAAAAAGGAAAGTTGTCAAAGTTTTAAGGGACGGAGGGAGTATATATTACAGTATAATGTAGTTAGTATTGATAACGGTGATGTTATAAATGTATTATTTTTAATAGTTAATGATTAATTTGTCACTTAAAATTGTTAATTGTTTCCTAAAATAGAAATGGGAACCTTCTAACGGGACGTCCAAAAAAGGAAAGTGGGAACCTTCTCATGGGACGGAGGGAGTATATTTTTTTTGACACACGCTTCTTTTTAAGTAAGAGCACTTTCCTTTCTCTGAAAAGCAAACCTCGAAAATAAGTCATCTCAAAAACTCAAATGCTCTATAAGAAAAAAGTTGTGGAAAGCTCACATTCATGCCATACATAAAATTTGCTGTCCAAATTCTTATCAGGTGTCCTACCAATAAATTAGTGTACTAAATTTTATTATTACAAGGAAGAATGGAGTTGTAAGGAACCATATTATAAAGAATAACTCATAAAAGTAATATCTTTATAGTATAAGTCTAAGAGTGAATAACAATTTCATCTCCTTGTCTTTGACCACTCGCAATTGATACTGCAAACATCGAGCAGTATATTTAAAAAAGAAGCATAACTTATAAATGTACTGTATACATTACCCACAAACCTTGCTAGAGAGAAATTCTTAAAGCCTTCAATTAGGTTGTATGGTTTCAAAGTACCAATGCAGCCACGCAGACTAGGTTCACCACCATTCTCCACTTTCTTCCATGTCACAAATAAAGGACTGCAAAACAGAAAAATAACATTTCATCCAAATGTGAATAATAGCAATTAAAGCTTTCATACTTTTGCAATTTATCTGTAGGGAAAAAACAATGTAAATGGAGAAGCATAAATATGAGTGTGTGGAAGAGTCCCAATTAAAAAAATAAACACTCGATTTCTATAAAATGGGACTATGGTTATCAGCTCACTCCTTTTCTCTATATAAACTAAAATTAGAAACATACGCAATTACTCCAGAATCACTCCTTTTCTCATGCACGTTTAAAAAATTTAAATTTACTTTCTACCTTACCATAGAGTCAATTTTCGAATTCGCCCTGCTTTAGGAAGTTTCTGAAAGAACCATTATAGTAGGGGCAAATTTATGCAGAAGAACTACGTCTAAAATGTAGAAACTTACTTATGAATAACATAATAAAACAAGTACTGTTGAAAAGGAGAATTTGGCGTTCAAAATACGCAGTCATGAATTAGAAGCCAACGAATTATTCTTTTTCTTTTTGCTTATGGGGGGTTAAAGAGAGGCTTACTGATCACCGTCGTCGAAGGCAGGAGGGGGAGGTTTTTCGCGATTGTAGTGAGCCACCAAGGTATCGAAGCAGTACACCGCCATTTCTCTGTTCGCCGACACCATTTTTTCTCGGCGAATTTCCCGATCACCTTCCCCCAGTTTTTCTTGTATATCGATAGGGGAAACAATTACACCAACAACAGCTCAATATGGGATTTTCGGCTTTTACAGTTTTACTCCGTACTATCTAGTGTGGACTGGAATCGATAACAACGAAGTCCTCCTCAATAAGGCTGAGCATAACCCAACCCGACCCGACCAGACAAACTGAATTTTTTTCCGGATAATATCCTATTGGATATGGATATCCGATCCGACTACCCATATCCAAAAATTTGGACAGGCTTGGGCGGTTACCGGGTTGCGGGTAGGGTTCAGGGTTCATAAAACCCTAACCCGATCCGCCCGAAAATCTGAAATACCAAAACGACGTCGTTTTGGATTTTATATATATACATACGTATAACTCTTCTACAAGAAATCTCAAAAGAACAAAAGGCGCCACAGCATGAAAACTAGGTCGCAATCCAGAGATTTTCCATGGAATTAGCTCTTTTTTTCTTTTAGTTTTGTTTTCCCTTTATTTCAGTACTTCTATTTCTTCTCTTTCATGTACTTTTATTTTATTTTTTCCTTCACGCATTGTACTCTTTTTGAACTCAATAAAATTTCCCTAAAAAAAAAGAAAAAAAAAACTCTTCTACCCGGCCTAACCCTCTCCGCATCTTCGAACTTTCTTCTACTCTTCCCTCTATCCTCTCTCTAACTCTCTTCTGTCTGCACTCTTCAGTTGTTCAGACCTTACTCTCCTCTCTCGGTCTTTGATTTCCTTTTTCAATTACACTTTACTACTTGAGAGTTGAGGCTTGAGAGTTGAGAATCCTATAGTCATATTTGGTATTTTGGTGGAAGCTCTCACACAGAAAGACACAGTCACACTGAAACCCTAATCGGTGGAAATCGTTCTTCGGGTTTGTTCCAATCAGCAATGTCCTACTGCTTAACTTCTTCTGTAAATCAGCTTGCTGATTGTTCCAACCTTCATCCTTATGACCTTATGAACTTAAAGAATAAAAATTGACCCTCATCCATTTGTGTTGACAAAAATGTGGAAGCTCAAGGGTGGAAGCCTAATCTACCTATGTGTACATAATTGCTTATTTACTTATATAGATGGATGGTCAAGATAGTGTTACCATGCTTGTATCTGGTGAACCTCCTCTAAGCCAGGAACCTGCAGTGGAAGCTCCCATTGTAGAGAGTAATGATACCACTCAACAGACTGATATAGTTATTGTTTCTGGCCAAAAGAGGAAACAGGTTGAATCCAGGTCCAAGATATGGGAACACTTTGTAAAGATTTATGATGAAAATGGAGTTCTTGTGTAAAGGGAAATGCATATATTGTGCAAAATTATATTGTTTTAATTCAAAAAAACATGACACCTCATCTATAAGAAAGCACATGTTCAGTTGTCTGAAGAACACTCATTCTAAGGACACTAGACAAGCCCTCTTAACCTTCCGACCAATCATTGGTGATAGTCCTAGTGAAGAACTTGCTCGGTTTTAGGAACCTGGGTGTTTGACCAAAATGCAATTAGAAGAGCTCTTGCGGAAATGCATATAATTGATGAGCTTCCTTTTAGGTTTGTTGAGAGGCAGAGTTTTAAAAAGTTTATATCCATAGCTTGCCCTAGATTTAAGATCCCTTCTAGATAGACCATTGCCAGGGACATTTACCAAATCTACTTAGATGAGAAGATGAATTTGAAAAAGCTGTTTAGGGAGACAACACAAAGGGTAAGTATTACTACTGACGCATGGACCTTTGTATAGAGGAACAACTACATGTGTATTACTGCTCATTACATAGACCATCAGTGGAAGCTTCAGGAAAAGATCATTTCCTTTGTCCAAGTTACTTCTCACAAAGGGGAGTATATTGCTAAGGTTCTTGAGAACTGCCTTTTAGAGTGGGGGCTAAAAAACATCTTCACTGTTACTGTTGATAAATGCAAGCAGTAATGATACAACTAAAGGATTCTTCAAGAAAAAACTATTATCTTGGGGTGCCTCTTCTGTTAAAGTCAAGTATCTTCACATGAGATGTATTGCCCAATTCTAAACTTGGCAGTTCAAGATGGTTTAAAACAAGATGATACTTCTCTGTCTGGGATTAGGGAAGTAGTTAAGTATGTTAGGATCTGACTTAATTGGGGTGGAAGCTAAATGTGGAATACACCTTGATGTCAGGTTTATCTAATGAAAATGTTTTTGAAGCCTATGAGGAGAATGTAACCAGTTATGCAGATGATTTGGGTGTTGACACTCCAAATACTATGGATTGGATTTCTTGTGAGTCTTTGGTCACAGTTCTTCAAAATTTTTATGATATGACACTCAGGATTTCAGGCTCTCTCTATGTTACTTCTAATACTTTCTTCTCGGAAGTGTCTGATCTGTTTATGGTCCTTCAGGACTTGATGAAGTCAGATAGACCTTCTACAAGTAGCATTGGAAGTACTATGAAATCCAAACTCGATAAGTATTGGGGAGATCCTAAAAAGATGAACTATCTCATATTCTTTGCAAATGTTCTAGACCCTAGAGACAAGTTTGAATACATGCCCTTTCCGTTCAATGCTTTGTATACTGCAAAAAAAGGGTGAGAATTTTTTGCAAGTATCAAACTTGCTCTGACTGAGTTATTTTCAGATTATGTGAGTAATTACACAGATAGTGTTGGTGGAAGCTCTAAATCAAACTCAACTCTTGCTGGTTTAGTAATCTGTGAGGCTGAGTCTGCAAGACCAGTCTCTAAATTCAAAGCCCAACTAAAAAATGGAAACTAGAGAGTGGGCAGTTGGGCTTGAAAAAAAACTGAGTTGGAAATTTATTTGAGTGAGGCTATTGTTGAGGAAGATAAAGATTTTGATATTTAAGATGGTGGAAATTAAATAGTCAAAGATTCCTTATACTCTCAAAAATGACTAGAGATATTCTTGTTGTTCCCATCTCTACAGTTGCGCCTGAATCCACTTTCAGTACTAGTGGCCGGGTTTTAGATTGCTTTAGAAGTTCATTGACTCCTAAAATAGTGGAAGCTTTGATATGTTGTCAAGATTGGTTGAGAAAACAAACCAACCTCTGTCAATTGAAGAAAATATTGATGAACTTGAGAGGCTTGAAACATGTTATTTTATTTTTTACATGTGCTTAATGTATATTTATTTTCAGTATGCATTACCAGATGTGTTTATTTTTTCCAGATTTAATAAATGGGACATGTGCTGCTACTGAAAATGCTTATGGATCTTCTGTGGATCCTTCACCAGTGAACTTAATGGTTTACTTATTCATTACAAGTTTATAATCTTACATTCTTACTAATAATTAAAGTTGCCAGGTTTTGTTTCTACTGCTCATTTACGATTTACCAAAGTGACTTACAATAGGTGTTGGAAGTGTTGGTGTTGGATGTCTTCCATTGCCCACAACCCCTATTCAATTTTCGGTGCTATTCATTTGCCCCTTCGTTTTCCAGTAAAACTAAACTGCTTCTTCATTTAAATATGTCTCTTGTGATGTTTTTCAGTAAAATTGGTTCTTCCCGTTTTGATTATGATGAAAGCTTCCACCGTATACTGAAATAAGATATGGTTGGTATTAAATGTAGTTGGTGGTAATTTGGATTTGGCCTCCAATGTATCTTTACATAATGAGATGACTTGAAACCTACCACTATCTACTTTGGATGTCCCCAACCTGTTTTGAATTGACAAGAAGAAATCTGAACCAATATGTAATAACTTTGTGAATTGTGAATTTGTGATTATGCATTTATTCATTGATGATATTTGAATTGTGATTTATTATATATGCAGGATTAAAATGTAAATACAAATGTGTTGGACTTGAGGGCTTGTGGAAGATGGCATCTTATCATCTAATGTGTTGTAGAAAACCGCAGCTTTGTACTTGGTTGTTGGTTTTGCACTTGCTATGTTTTGTAAACTTTGAACATAACCTTATATTTTTTGCAAAGTAGTGTCTAATTACTTAGTTATTTTGTGCTTGGTTTGTAATTTAAGTACTTAGTGTTGGAAAAATGTGTTAAAAATTACATTAAATGGTGATTTTTGGGGCAATTATTTGAGTGGAGTCCACTTCCGATTTGGGTCGGGTTAAAGTGGTTTCGGATTGTCCTTGTTAAGGGATACAATTCGATATATGGTACACTCAAAATGGATAACGGGTGAATGAGAAATTGATTCTCGAAGTTCACTCGTTGAAATGGAAAAACTGGGAAAATGATGGGTTTCTAGTGTGTTTTATCCCACACCGAAAAACTCAAGGGATTTTCACCCCCTTATAAAGGGAAGCCTCTTTTAAGGAGTTAAGATTCCTAAGGGTAAAGGCTCTCTTACGCGCAAGGGGGTGCCGATCAAATCCCGAAACGGAGAAGAAAAACCGTGACTCGTGTGCGCGGGCGACCTGCGGACACGGATGTCATCCGAAAACTTATCAATCAAAGATACGGTCTAATTTTTGTTTCTTCCCGTAACGTTTTATCCATTAACACCCCACTTAACATACAACAAATCCTCCTATAAAAGGCTGACAGGTGCTTTGCAACAAACACACGGTTTGACAACGCACAATACATTCCTCACGAATTTCTTAAGCTAAAAACACTTCCTGCAAATTCCTTCTGTGTTCATACTTGGTTCTCGTTCGCTGGAACTCTTGTTTGTGTGCTCAAACATTAGTTCGTAGTCATCGTATCCTGGGAAACGATTGTTGCAACGTTCCTAGCATCGTGGGAGGCAACAAATACGTTTTAAGGACATCGTGCGTAGCACGAGCTTTGATTAATTCTGCTTCATCTCCTTTCTTGTTTTTCTCTAGTCATTTTACTTAATTAATTTATTTTAATTAATTTCCTTTATTTTTCCGAAACACACCCAACACTTAGTTATTTTGTGCTTGGTTTGCTAAGTAATTTAGTTTGTAATTATGCAACTAGCCAACTGCAAGTAAAAAGTCAGTGGGTTGGGTTCAAGATGAACCAACTTTTTTTGTATTTGTAATTTTGTACTTTCACAGTTCATAATGCTGCAATTTCAATGTGTTTTAAGTATAACTGAATTAATCGATACCTGATCCGATATCCGAAATTAACCAACATTCTAATATCCGAAAAACCCGACATCCAAACTGCGTGGGTTGGGTTCAAGAAT